CGGGGCGGCGCGGAGCGCAGACGCTGACGCCGCGCGGCGTGTCCGCCGTCCTCCCGTGCCGCCATGGCAGCGCTGCCCGGTGCCGCGGCCCCGCGGCTGCTCCTCATCCCTAGCAAAGCGGCCGAGGCTCCCGGCCCCGCGGCTGCCCGGCATCTGTCCGTTGTTCTGCCGGCAGGAGCCGACCCCGGTCTCCCGGGGATGGAGAGCACGCAGCCGGCCCGCAAGCGGCAGCGGCTCACGCATCTGAGCCCGGAGGAGAAGGCGCTGCGCAGGTGAGCGGGGGGTAGCGGTGGGACGGCAGCGGCTGTACTTGATGGGTACCACATCTCCCGCTGACGGCAGCTCTGCCCCGCAGGAAGCTGAAGAACCGCGTGGCAGCTCAGAGTGCCCGCGACAGGAAGAAGGCGCGGATGACAGAGCTGGAGCAGCAGGTGGTGGAGCTGGAGGAGGAGGTAAGGGACTGGGAGAGATAAGGGGCTGGAGAAGGGGGAAAAATGGAGCCTCCCTGCCTCACGGCTCTTTGCAGAACCAGAAGCTGCTGCGGGAAAACCAGCTCTTGCGGGAAAGGACGTGTAACCTCGCTCGGGAGAACCAGGAGCTGCGCTGCCGCCTGGGTTTAGACGCTCTGAAGACGGAGGAGGAGGGTGAGGAGTTCCAGGTGAGCCGCGCTGCTGGCGTGTCCGCCCCCGCCTTGGGCAGAGCTGCCCCGCTCCCGGGGCAACTTCGCTGCTGTGGCCAGGGATAGGTTTGGAAATACCTCTGTCCTCCATATGGAGGCTCTCCTGAAACTCAATAGGTGCCAAGTCGAAATGGGTGGCACTGGTAATGTGGGAGGTAGAAAGCCGACTAGTTCCAGGCTGTTTTAAGACAGTTTTGTCTGATTTTCCAACTTATGTCGCAGAAGTGAAGTTGGAACTGTTACATGTAGGTATGTGTCAGATGTGGTGGAGAGGGTTAGGCTTTCAAAGTGCCAAACAAAATGAATATGCAAGTTTAGGGAAGCTTCGGCTGACTTAGGAAATTCTTAACCTTCAGGTTCCTACAGAACAAGCAAATAGAGAATTTTTCGTTGTAAGCCTTTGCAGAAAGATTACAGTCCTCAAGATTATGTGCTGTACTGCCTGCCAGAACATTTGAAGTGACTGAGATTTTGTCTTGGTACAGGTTGTCAAGGAATCTCAGGTGGATGAAATTAGATTGGTGACCGGGTCCGCTGAGTCCGCAGCACTCAGACTACGTGTTCCTCTGCAGCAGGTGCAGGCCCAGCAGTCACCATTTCTGATAGTTTCCACATGGATTCTGATGGCAGTGACTCTTCAGACTCTGAGGTGAGCATCCACTCCTGTACAAACTGTCCATGAAATTTGGAACTGCTGTAGATTTAAGACTAGTGTTACAACTTTCTGATGTTAAATCATTTTATTATCTTTGTTCATAGTTGGTTTGTTTTCCAAGTCTTGGAGTGCCATACAAGTGTGGTTCAGAACAGCTGTGTTAGGCTGTATCCAGTAAATACAGGAGTTCAGCAACACTGACATGAAAAAACTGAGCCCTCGCAGCTTTGGTCGTGTTCTGGTTTGTGCTCTGTGTAGCCAGCAGGCACTGTGCTGTTTGTCCTCGATGGGTACAAGATCTCGAGGAGCTTCTAATAATGGCTTTGAATCTCAAATACGTGTATAATTCTTTGGGGATTGCCAGTACCATTGCAGAATAAGCTGTGGGCAAAGAATGACTGTGCCCTGGAACAGATTGCCCAGAAGGGTATGGAGTCTCCTTCACTGTCAAGAACCATCTGTTGCAATCCTGTGCCATGTGCTCTACCATGACTCTGCTTGAGCAGGGGAATTGGACCAGATGTGACCTACTGTGGCCCCTACCAACCTGGCAGATTTTGTGAATTTCTGCAAGATACGCAACTGCCTTAACCCTGTGTTTGATGATGTTTGTGGTAAAACAGCTGTGATCGCATCAGTCTGTTTTAACTTCCACATGGGGGGGTTAATAGATGCCACATCTAGTGTTTTGCTGCAACAGTAATAAACTGTTTTTCTAAAATTGTCTTTCATTTTGCAGTCTGATCTCCTATTGGGCTTTCTGGACAGTCTGGACCCAGAGATGTTTCTCAAGTATGCTGATTCAGAGTCAACATGCCTGGAGAAGCTGGAGGAAGAGATCTCTGGAGAAACAAATTCCATACCAACCACCCTGTCTCCCTCTTTGGGGTCCCCATCAGCTAAGCTGGAAGCCATTAATGAACTCATAAGGTTTGATCACGTGTATACAAAACCCCTAGTAGTGGAGATTCCTGTTGAAATGGGCAACCAAACCAATATGCTAGTGAAAATTGAGGAAGAAAATCTCTCTTCATCTGACGGCAAGGCTATCCCCGAGATCCCAGTGTCTGTGAAGAAGGAACCTGTAGACAGCTTCATGCCTGAACTGGGCATTTCTCATCTGCTTTGTTCTTGTCATAGCCTTGAAGCCTCAAGCTACCTGTTGGATGGCTGTAGTGACTCTGGGTATGAAGGATCCCTGTCGCCCTTCAGTGATACATCGTCTCCGCTTGGCACTGACCACGCGTGGGAGGATAGCTTTGCCAAGGAACTCTTTCCCCAGCTCATCAGTGTCTAACCTGGTAGTGTTAACTCCCTTTGAATAATTGTCCTGGCAGGATCTCAGCAGATGCCCCTTTGGGGGGTGAATGTGGGGAAAATCAAGTCCATTCAGAAAAGTGTTTCTCATCTTTACCCATGCTAGTAGATGGCGTGATGGTATGAAAAAGCCTAGGCTGTCCTGTCCTGGCTCCCCCCCCAGTCAGTGTTGGCTTAGCAGAGAGGCAGGTTTGTTTCTCAATAACTTGCTCATTCTCTATGAACCTGAAAATGTTTTGTTTTCCGGTTAAAATTTTAACACCAAAAACTAAAGCGGGATAGTCATGTATAGACAACTGGGCTAGACCTTAACAGTCTCTTAAGTCTTACAGCTTCACTAAATGCTTGTTTTCCATTTGCTATGTAGAGTTGCTTTGTCCATTTAATATTTAACTGTATTGGTGCAATTAAAATGCAGTGCAGCTCACTGACCCTTTTTTGCCTTAGAACTCATTGGGGAGGGGAGAGTGTCTGGCCCTTGGAGAAGTTAAGTTCAGGTCCCCAGGTGTCTCATCCTGCAATGCATTGATGAGCAGTGCTCATAGGATGTCTGCAGCTGGATGTTTCAGCAGTTCCCTTTGGGGGCACTGGATGTGGTAGAGGGGTTTGTGTGAGGGCCAGAGCTACTAGAGCAAAACTTGCAGCCTCTGTAAGGCAGGCAGGTGGCAGGAGCTTGAAGGCCGAATATTCAAAAGTCAGGGCAGTGGTGGCACCCTGGTAGCCAAGTAATGCTGTCCAAGATTCTCAGTCTGAGGGAAGCTGGGTGTGAGACAGACATGGTATGAAAATGGCTGCAGATTCTCTATTACCACAGGAAATCCTGAAGCATCAAAGGAACTTGTCAGGAGGAGACAAGACATCAGGACTTGTCGTTGTCCACATCCGTTTGCTCCAGAATCCATCACAATATTACAAACACTTGGAGACAAAAGAAATTTTATACCAAAAATAAGAGAGCTGTTTTAGGTGTTGGAACAGCTGTTCTTGGTTTCAATACTATTTCATGTTTTGCATTCAGTTTTTACAAAAATAACTTGGGTGGGGGGAGGAAAGAAAACTAGTGATGTTTCGGTCAGTAACATTCAAGATGACAGGACTGCTTTGGATTACAAGCTTGAGTAACATAGCTTATACTGAAGGATTCTACATGAACAGTGGGTAAGGACTACAGACTACACCTGCACAGTATAACAAATTTAGGTTGAAAATCCAAGTAGTCAGAAGAACAAGTTGTTTTACTTTCCAGCTGGAAAACAGGGATGACCGCAAGAGTATCAAATAAATTGTGAGTCCAAAATAGAGCAGAAGTGAGGATTTGATCTGTAGTTTTGTATTACATTTTGTTAGCACTTTTTTATGGAACCCCAACCCCTCCTGGCAACTGTGAGCAAGCTGTTTCAATATCTAAAAAATCCAAGGAAAATTGTGTTGCAGTCTCTTTTCCATCACAGAAGGACATGGCATATGCTTAGTATTTCAACCTTGTTAAGCACAGGAGACAGAAATGTTCAGGGACATGGTCTTTACACTGTTTCGCTTCCCCTTTTCAACTTACCAGCTGTCTCCTAGCATGCTTTATCCTGACTAACTGCAAGCACTGGGTCCCACAATAAGCTGTTAATAGTTACTGAGATCTCTTCCACTAAAAACAGAAAACTAGTTCTTGTTAATCTGAACTTGAAACTCTCCTCAAACTTTCCTTAACTTTAAGAATACTTAGCTTGCTTAGTTCTGAATAGTTTTATTCTGAAGTAAAATGAAATATCTGAAAACACAAACTATAGCAATACCTGTTGGTACCCCTATTGCTTTGTCAGAGGCTTGGGGATCATAACAGACTTAAAACTGAAGCTGCCAGGAAGGGTTGTTTTATTTTACCTTGCTGTTGCCTTCCCTTGTCCTGTTGAATACTGTAGAGGAAAAAAAGGGGCATGCCTTTGACATAGCATAGTTAAGTTTAAATCTTAAGTCAGAAGAGTGCTTCACTGTCCAGCTGAAGGACTGCACATAGGCTCCCAAGGTTTTTTCACTCTCAGCAGGAATGAAACAGTCATCTAAAAAATTTTAGAAAATTTATTGAAAACTGACATACAAAGGGTGATTTGGTCCCAAGAGAAGACAGACCAGAATCAGATCTTCCGTATCTCAAAATAAGGTTTTTCCTAATACTGCATCGCATTTGCCATCCCATTTGTGAACAGCATTAATAAAAATCTTTTAACGAAGACAACAACAAATTAAACTCACAAATACAGAAGTCTGTAAATGTCTCAGCTTGATCTTTCATCCAGTCACCCTCCCCCAAGTGATTGCTGTAGCAAGGAGCTTGCTTAGTTCTCCTGTCACTTGGTTCCCACTCTAGCCCAGTCTTTGCTCAATTCAAGCTACACAACCTCACTGTCTCCTATCACAAGGGCAGAAATTCATTGTGAAAAAATGAAAGCAAATGTTTTCTGTCAAAGCTAAGTTCTTAGACAATTTTTTCTTTACTCCTAGTCTTTGTCAACAGTGCACCACTATGTTTTAGATGGCAGGTAAGAGCTCAGTGATGCCCTATTGGCATTGAATTAAGAGGAAAGACACCTCTGAAAGTCAACCTTTGGTACAAACCTAGCAGGAAAAAAAAAAGTATGCTTAAAAGCCATCTACAATTTCTTATTCTGCAAATCTGATAAGCAATTTGGTGTTTTGATGCATTTAGGCCTCCTGTAGTTTTTTTACATCTTCAGTTGCAAGTTTACTGTTGCTGAGATGGTCTCATCACATTTTTGAAATTTTCATCCTTTCTTTTCAGTTTATTTAGGATTCCAGAGCTCTCACTTAAAATGCTTCCAACTTCAAACTTTCACTGTAATTCAGCAAGCTGAAAACCAGTTACTTAATTGGAGGCACCACATTTTCTACCTGCAGTGACTACAGCCTTCTCCAAACTGCACTGCTTTACATTCTATTCAAGCACTGGAGCATGTCAAAGGCTGTAGGATTTAAACACTTTCAGCAGCTTAATAATATGTAAGAAATTTTACACAGTTCGTGCAAGAGATTATGGCGGACCCTGAAATGGAATTAGGCATTATAGCAAGATAGGCTGCACATGTTCTTCAACTTAATAAACCTTCCAGAATGGTACAGGTGTATACTCATTTCCAGAGTAATACCTAATCAAATGCTGGAGTGTTTTTAGTGAAGCTTTGAAATGTTTTATCAAGAGACAGAAAATTTCAGACAACCTTCAACAAAAGCAGCAAGATAAACAGGGTTTAACAAACAGGTACCTTTTGAACAATCAAAACAAAGGACGACTGCAAAAAGAGAAGTTGATTTTAAACTTTCAGCTATGGGTTATTCAACAGTAAAGAATATGATAACAAGGATTATCTCTTAGCTGTGCAGAGCAAGAGTAGATTCACTATGTGAGCAGCTGTGTTACTGTCTACTTGCTCCTTTATCTTAGCAAGACGTCAAAACCAGATTTGGACATAGGACTCTGAGCAGAACCTATTACTTGGAAAGGGATTTCTTAAGAAAAGCCTCAATTCAGGTATCTCTGAGAAAGCTCAAGGACTTACAAATAAAAGATAAAACTTTTAAACAACTTAAAGCATAAGCATAAGGAACTGCTGTGCATTGAGAAAAGGTACAAGCAGTAGCTCATTGTGGACTCCTTTCCTTGGCAACCTGCACAGGATAGAAAATGCTTTTGGCATACATCTGGATCAACAATATGATGCTGTATTATTGGCACAGACTGTGGCTTAAATTCTATGTCCAGATTCTCTCAGGAAAAAGACAGGCATCTCCTTTACTTCACTACCAAAGGCTGGGACTTGGGTACAGACAATTATCCAGCATCTGACTCTCCTATGGCAGCAAGCAGCTCCCTGTTATTTATTTATCATGTTTATCCAAATCAATGGATGCCATTCATTTAATCATAAGTTACACTGTCTTCAGCTGACCTTCCAACTCCATGCATACAAAGAATCTCAGCACAATGTAAAATGTGAGCCTCTTTGCTGAGAACCACTTTTCTCCAAACTTTGAACTGTTTGGGGAGGGGGACATAAAAACCCACAAATAAAATTTAGAAGCCAATGAACCAAAGATGACAGAAGTTAGCAAGTATCCTGCAAGTTATAAGTACTAGCTTTACTTTCTACCAAGCTAAAGACTTAAGCTCAGCTGTGATATTCCTTCACTACCACCCCATGGATTGTGTAATTTCTACATCTGGGTTTACATCAAGTCCAAATAGATAGGATGGCGTGAAAAGCTGTATTAGCAGAGGGATTCTTTTTCTATCCATGACTAGATTTGAAGGTATTTCTTTACATTTTGTAATTCAAATTAAACCAAATGGCCAAGCATAGTATGTGCACCAGTTTCAATGGCTCAGTAAGAAGAAAGGTATGGCTTAAGCCACAGTTACATTCAATATTTGGATTTTATACTTTACCAAGGGCAATTAAGAGGATATTTCACCATTAAGCAAGATGAAAAACTACTTTCCTGTTTCAAAGGCCTCTGAATTACCTTTTCAGTAAAAGTAAGAATTTTTAACAGATTGGAACACAGAAATCTTAATGTGTTTCCTGGCCACCCTATGATTGTGGTGTGCTTATGATTGTTAGTAAGAAAACAAAAAACAAATAATATAACTTCAGATTCACACATCAAACCAGAAAAAAAAAAAATCAAAAAACACCAACAATAAGCATCAGAAGCTCACCACTTCCAGTCTAAAATCTGCCATCTACAACTCCATTTCTTCTTCTGCACACCCAGATATTCCCAAACTAGCATATGGATCTGGAGACATGGCAGTCTGTTGTGATCCAGAGAACGTTTCAGTCTGTGGGTCAAAAGGAGCTCTTGGTGTTGGCTGCTTAGCTTGACACCCTTCTGTACTCTGCTGCTTGAAGTTCTTAACAGAAACAGACTTCAGTTTATCTGTCATAAATTCCGGAAGAGGTTTCCAAAGCACCAGCTCCATAGAAGGACGGCTCCTAGAAGGGATGGAGTTTCAGTAAAATTTAAGTTCTCCAAGAACAGCTATTAAATGCAGAAGACCTGTATCTTCATCCTTTGAGCTAGCCTGGGACTATATTCCAGAAAATATATACCTTTTTTCCCCCCTATTAAATTTCCTGTTCCCTAACTAGTTTCATTATTTCTAGTTCTAACCCTGTATTTCCTCTCTTTTTTGCACCAAACTTGACCACTTGGTCACACTTCAGGATCTTCTCATTTTGAAAATTCATATACATAAAACCAAAACTTATACTGGTTCACTCAACAAATTTCACTCTGTAGAAATGAGGAGTACAAAACAGATACTTGATGACCACTACAGTTACACTTATTTCTTTTTTACATTAGGACAGTTTTTCGTATTTTAAACCAGATGTTATACAATGTTGGCTGCATCATGCAGTAATCAAGGACATCTCCATAAACATGAAACGAGGTCTCTCTTTTCATTTGCATGTGTTAGCTACATAGCACCATGATTTCCTCCAGAACTTACATAGATTCTATTATTTTCTTTGTCAGGACTTCACCAAAATCCCTCTTCATCCCTTTCTTAAGGGTATCTGACAGGATAAGAGTGGGCAGATTGCTAACATTTCCATCAGCATGAACTTCCTCATCTTCATCAATTATCCTAGGAATGGAGGGGGAAGAGGGAGATAAACACTATTGAGCATACTGTTATCAGGAACATCCACTGCAGACTACAGTCACATCTACGTGCTCTGCTCTGTGCAGATCTCTGACCTAGGCTGGGTACCAGAAGCAGCAGGGCCATGTTAACACGAGTCTCTCTTGGGCCAAAATACCCTGAGAAGGATTCATCACAGAAGCCACTCGAGCAGCAATGCCACTTCTGGTACCTGAGCTAGCTTTGTTACCCCTGTGTTGCCCCAGCAGTGTCAGTGCAGACATACACTGAGAGAAAAGAAACAAATTCCCTCCAAGGAAAACTGTATGATTCAGTCACATTACACAGATGAGTCTCAGCTATGCAGCTGCTTCACCTGCTCAGTTCCCCACAACTGGACTTTGAGAATTATTGCAAAGGTACTGAAAACAGTGCTGCACTTTTCAGAATGTTGTGCCAGTTTCTGAGATTAAATCAGCAGAAATTGTTGAAGTGTTTAGAATAAATGGAAACATCTCCTTTGTTTTTGGTAAACCTTTTATAGAAAATTTAGCAGTGTAGCTGGGAAGAATAGGGAACAATCCTCCAAGAGGACCAAAGCAGATAGACACATAATAGAGACATATTTCACTACTCTGATTTACCCATGAAAAAAAAATAACAATCTAACAGTACCTTGCTTCTCCTTATGCATCATCTATGGAGTAATCTACAAAAAAATCTTGTTTTAAAATTTCTGTAACTTGGCTTTTCTAATCATCTGCAGTGGTCATTTTAGATATTTTGGAATACCAGCTCAACTGCAATCAACTGATACATACACATGCCATTCCAGAAATCTTTCAAGGGCCAGAATACACAGTAAATTTATTAAATTACTATAGCAGACTGTCTATAGCCACCCCATTACCCCACATCACCCCATCAGCAAGATGAATCTCAGCCTTACTGCATATGTGCAGAGAGACCTCTCTGGTTCATACTACTCTCCACATTGACAAATTCCCATCTATTTTAAGTATATTACAGAACAAGCTGCAGCTGGTTGAAAAAAGCTGAGCTCAAGCCAGAGGAGGTGAATGTTATAATTTGAGCTCTGGATACTCACAGAAGAGCATTAAACCCCATTATGGTATATTGAAGCTGCATAATGATTGTGAGCAGGGTGTAATTTACACAGCATCTCCTGCTCTAGCACTCTCAATTTCAGATCAGTCTGAAGACTCACAGAACCACAGGTAGCCTAAAATGAAATAATTTGAATAGAAGGTTCACCTCAGACTTACAGCAGTGTTATCACACTGCTAAGTGCTAGATTTACCCCTGAATGCCCACCAAAAAAGGGAAAGCTCAGCAAAGCCAGGCTACTCAATCCCTGCATTTACCTGTCCTCAATTTCCTGAAGTTTCCTGCGAGCAACCTCGCATTGCTGTTCCCCCATTGTCTGATCCATTTCTTCACAGGGAATTTCTAACATGGCAGTTTCAGGACCGCTGCCACCATACTGACTTGCTACCTCCCCAGCTGCCTGCTGACCTGCACAGAGAATCCATTCTTCAGTGTTGGGATTCAAAGGGCAATTTTTGGCTCCTGTCAGTCTCTTCTTCCGCACAGGACAGCTAGGAAACAAAGTGAATATACAATTATCAAAAAAGAAATGTGGCATTCTACAGGAACAAATATTATAGAACGTGCATTTCAGCAGCATAGACACACTATGGCAATGCAACCTCAACAAAGAAAATAAATTCACATTGCTCTTAGTAAAATGTGAGTACCTATTAACGAAAATCAGTGCCACACAATTAATTAGGTAATAGAAATGAATTTGGGCTCATGTGCAATTCAAGGGAAGAGTTCCAAATAGAAACAATGATAGATTTCCTTCCTGTTTGTATTGTAGGTGAGATGTGCTCAAATTTTTCACAAAACAAAAAGCAAATCAAGATTTTTCAGGCTGTAAAAGACAAATTAATTTACCCTTCTGCCTCTTCTTCTAGCTTATGCTTCTTTCCACATCGCACAGAGACACTACAAAAGAAAAAGGGTTACTTAGCTTCAAATCATATCTTCTGGTTACACTGATATTTTCAAGCAATATTTTTCTCCCTTTTAAAATTTTATCTGAGATCAACAGTCACAGTATGTCACCAGCTGTGAAGGGAATAAAATGACTACTTTTTTCCAAAGGAAGTCAAAGACACCTGTAATTGTTCACTTCTCTGAGCAGAATTCCATGCTAATGTCTTCTCCTTTACATTATTTATTATTCCACAAGGGGCAAGACCAATTTTTTGCTAAAACTCAAATGCTTCAAGAAGCAACACATTACCCAGCTTGAATCTCTTAATACTCTGTATCATTGGGACATACTGAAAAAATACTGAAAAACATAAATGAGTCTGACCGTACCCAAAAATGTTGGTACACTTTCTTGCCTTTTAAAAGGCTCCTTCATCCCCCACCAGCCAGGGTGGTCTTTAGCCGACCACATTACAATTCTAACCTCGTACTAGTGCAACATTGCTAACAGGGAAACAAATCCCAGCCGCCTCGCAAAGCATCCGGCGCAGTTTCCCACTGCCGGCGCTCTGGGCTCGGCCCTGCGGGAACGGGCTTGCTACTTACTGGCTGCGGCTTCTGGTGAAGGAGCTCACCGGGGCCACCGTCAGCCCCTCGTTGTGGCACCCGAGCGCGGCCAGAGAGGCCAGGTCGAAGCTGCTCTGCAGACAGAGGCCGGAGGATCCATCGACGCCGTCGTTTCCGAGCCCTGTCATGACCATCCCGGGTGGCTGCAGGCGGCCGTGGCCGCCGGCTAAGGGCTGCGGGCCGTGGCGGTCCGGTGCAGCGGCCGGCGCTGTGGGGAGCTCGACGGCCGGGCCCGCCGGGATGCCCTGGCACGATCTGCCTAGCGCTGCCATTTCCTGCCGCGGGGGA